ACGAAAGCAGCAGCAGCCGCAACTCCAGAACAGATGCAAGAGCTGCAGCTGCAGCGGCTGCAGCAGCAGCTGCTGCTGCTGCAGCAGCAGCAGCAAAGGTCAGGCGGCAATTTCTTTCTTTAGGATTTCATATTCCGGCTCTTCTTCCTCCTCGCTTTCTGTGTCGGGTGCGAGCTGCTGCTGCTGCTGCTGCTGCTGCTGCAGCAGCAAATAGTAAGGACAAGACTCGTCTGAGGTGTATCCGCAGCTTTTCTTGTAAAATGCAACAGCCCTTTTGTTGCAGCGCAGCACAGTGCACATTATCTTTTTAAAACGCAAAGGCAGCAGCAATTCATCTGCTGCTGCTGCTGCTGCTGGTTGTGCTGCTGCTGCTGCTGTTGGTTCTGCTGCTGCTGCTGCTGTTACTTGTGCTGCTGCTGCTGCTGTTGGTCCCGCTGCTGCTGCTGCTGGTTCTGCTGCTGCGGCTGCTGCTTCAGCTGCTGCTGTTGGTTGTGCTGCTGCTGGTGCCGATGCTGGTGCTGCTGTTGCAGGTGGTGCTGCAGCAGTTGCTGCTGCTGGTGCCGCTGCGGCTGCTCCTGCTGCTGCTGCTGCTGGTGTTTCCGCAGCTGCTGCTGCGGGTGCAGTGGCTGCGTCGCAGCCCGGCGCTGCTGCTGCAGCTGAGGCACCCCCTGCTGCTGCTGCTGTGGCCCCCCCTCCTGCTGCTGCTGCTGTGGCCCCCCCTCCTGCTGCTGCTGCTGCTGCTGCTGCTGCTGCTGCTGGGGTTTGGATGACCTTATTTGTTTTGGGGAGGAATTTAAATTGAGACAAACGAGAATTAAATTTGCAAATAAAAACTTCAAACAGCAGCAGCAAACGACGGCCAATCGATAAACCCTGGTACTCCTCCTACACGCAAACCCTAAACCCTAAACCCTAAACCCTAAACCCTAGTTCTACCGGTTGATCATCGAGACAAACCACCCTCAACTCCAAACCCTAAGCCCAAAACCCTAAACCTGAGCCCTGCTTTTATTTGCACCTTACTTCGGCAACAACCCTAAACCCTAAACCCTAAACCCTAAACCCTAAACCCTAAACCCTAAACCCTACACTTATTTGCAGCTCATAAAGGTAAACCACCGCCTGGCCGTCTTCCACTTCGAATCGAAAATGAATAAAACCAATAAGAGGGTCTTTAGCCGCCTCAGCAACTGCGCGCAAACCCTAAACCCTAAACCCTAAACCCTAAAGCCGAAACCCTAAACCCTAAACCCTAAACCCTAAGCTCTAGAGAAGCCCAGCCCGAGAAAGAACCCCGCAAGAGCGCCGCGTCTCCCCCCACCCCGCCCCCAAACCCCAACCCCCAAACCCTAAACCCTAAACCCTGAACCCTAAACCCTAAACCCTAAACCCTAAACCCT